CACACACACACACCGTGAACACACACCCGGGGGAGTGGACAGCCATTTTTGCTGCAGCGCCTGGGGAGCAGTTGGGGGTTCGGTGCCTTGCTCAAGGGCACCTCAGTCGTGGTATTGAAGGTGGGAGAGAGTGCTGTACATTCACTCCCCCCACCTACAATCCCTGCCGGTACGAGACTCGAACCCGCAACCTTTGGGTTACGAGTCCGACTCTCTAACCATTAGGCCACGACTTCCCCTAAAATTACGTTTATGCATTTAGCAGATGCTTTTATCCAAAGCGACTTACAGTGCATTCAGGCTATACATTTTTTATCAGTATGTGTGTTCCCTGGGAATTGAACCCACGACTTTTGCGCTGCTAACGCAATGCTCTACCACTGAGCCACAGGAACATTAAAAAAAACATGGCCGAATGATACGAGGATGTCGGGGAAGTTGGAAGTCTCGCCGGTGGAGGCAAGGTTAAGCCTCGGAGTTCATTACACTGTAATAACACCAACATTCCTGAATACTTCCAAGGAAACATGTTTGGATTACATATTTTAATACTTTGTTTGGTTTTAAATCCTTTTAGAGAAAGGAAAACAAAGAATGTTGACTTTGAGCTATGCTTTGGCATTCACATTTGTGTACTTGGGTAGAGTATGTTTTCTCCTAACGGTCAACTCAACTCTTAAAGACATGGTTAGGTATGTCTGCAAAGTAGGGATATTAGATTCTGATCCCTAATGCCTAACCCTATCACACCAATGTTCCTCTAAACATCAGTGCTCCGTAACACTGTACATAGGCTTAGATTCAACACTTACAAAGTACAGAAAGTCCTACCAGTAGTAGTAAAAGACCAAAGAAACCGCTCTGAATGACTTTGTGGCCAAAACAACTACACACTGTTCCACTTCCTGTTAGGATGTTCTCAAGTTTCTCCATATCAATGCTGCTTTCAAGTCACGTTGGAATAATTGTATTTAGTGGACATGAATGCCTGTCAATACAAGAATCGTGGCAGAAGCTGGTATTAATCATAATACACTATAACTGTGAAAATGAATTCACATCATAATTTTGAATGGGAAAAGGTGCTTTTACAAAGCAGTGTGTGTAATTACAGACTCAACCAGCAGGCTAACTATGCCATGCTAATACACCAATTTTTGGCCACCTGTTGATCATTAAGTGTGCGAACAATTCCTATCATTTTCAGTGGCAGCACAAGAATGATAAAATATATGCTAAAAAGCTTTTATCGGGAAATGATCGAGAGAGAAAGACACTTGCCCAATGGATCCATCTTATTCCGACCAAATCGCTTGAATTCACGTCGCATCAAAATTAAGATTACGGAACTCATAAATAAAAATCTCCCAAAGGACTTGAAGTCAGCACTAGTAAGTGATACAGATGAACAGTACTAATGGATACATTAAAAGATAAAACGTTTCAGCACACCTCTAGAAGCTTGCCGTCTTATGATTAGTGCACCATTTAAAACGGAAACTTTTTTCCAAAAATATAAATTTGAATCTTATCCGATGCTTCTTAGAAAATATTACTGTAGCAAGTTAAGAGCAGAGTATGCAGTCCTGTCGGTCAATATTCTGTTATTGAACTAGAAAAGAACAACGATACTAGAATTCAGACATGTAGAAAACTGTGACGAGTGCAATTATTCACATCAACTCTTGATTAAAAAAGGGCAGATGGTATTCCGCATTCCATACATGAAGAAATGAGTGATAATGAGGATGCTGAAGATCAATCTCTCATTCTCTCTATTCTCTATTGGTATTGCCTAAAGATGAGAGGACAGCCAACCCCAACATAGGTCCCTTTTCAACTTCGCTTTAACATGACACACTGTTTTGAACTGATTCTGTACTGGTTTTCAATTCTTTGCTGGGGTCTAAGTCACATTTGGACAGAAAACAATAGGAAGAACAACAAGAACAAGCATGGTGTTATTGATCTATTCCTTTGTCTGACTTTTTGCATACATCAGTGTCTTGTTGGTTGCAGTTTTGATGGTTACGATAACGATAAAGATGATGATGATGATAGCCAACCAGAAGCTCCTCCCCTTAAAATTCAGGAAGTAACAAGCTTGCTCAACTGTTATGCAACTGGCAAACAAGCTATAGAGCTACTTCAGGATCTAGCTGGAGTGCAGCTCAGAAATATAGACCAGAAGAGAGGTAGAGTGAGAGGACAAACAGAGGAACAATGAAAATATTTAGCCTAAAACAAGACAGGTGAGAAGATCCTTCACATGGTTGTGTTTGTGGTACAGGATATAATGCCAGACTCTCAGTTCTCAGACAGTGAGAGGGTCAGTGCTGCCTGCAGTGCTGCCTCCTCATCAATGCTGTAGTCCTGCATATGCAGACATAAAAACAGAAAAAGAACACATCCAGATCAGACTACACCACAAAATGTTTTGCATTTCAGTTGTAAAATACCTTGTAAATAAAGTATTGTATCACCTTTGAGAATAGTGGGAATTGCAAAAAAAAAAAAAAATACACTTTTCCACATTTATTACAGTAATTACAATTTTGGAGGGAAAAAGTGCTTAACCGTCTTAACAATAACGTCACTTAATTGACTCAAAATATCTTTCGCTTTTGAGATGAAATGAAGCCAAGATATGTTTTAATGAGATTCACTTCTGTAACAAATACAGATTCAGTTACAGAAGAGTAAGACAAAATTCCAAGACTTGCCAAAATATGCAGAGATGACAACCGGGTAAAACAAGGGTAAACAGTGGCGGTGCTTTTACAAGAGTTTCTTCTCGACAGGCAAGCTAAACTCAAGTGTTTGCCACACATGCTAGCTCTTGACTGTCAAGCTACAGATACTACGATGTGAGAAAGGCCGTGCGTGATGAGTGTAAGGGACGTTTGCAAAGGTGGTTTGAAAATATGCTTTATTTTTGTAATTCCACCAGGTGACACCAGTAGCACAGAAATGGCATACTTCACCTTGATACAGGTTCATCTATTGTATAAAGAAACAAATCTCTATGTTTTGCACTGTAACACTAATTGAATTATTAAATCCATTTCCCTCCCAGATTCTTAATCCCATAACACATGAATGTTTTATTTGTCATAAGGTTTTATATGAGGTTCCATTACTGTTTGGATACTGCTTTAGAAGGCAGCTGCCTATGTAGGCAGGAGAAAGCAAGGCAGCTCACATGGTATCGGGCACAGAGCGTTAGAATACAAAATGAAGAATATATAAATCTAAAGTATACGCTTTTTTTTGCCTTCTTACCACAAATGTGTCATAGGAGAATTTGTGCCGGTGGAGAAGATGCTGCAGGAAGTTGGAGCTCTTATAGCTAGGGTCACCCCAAGGCATAGCTGAACATACTGGACATACCTTCAAGGATAAAACATAAGAAAAGAGTGTTTACCAGTAAGGACCGTGATCAAATCTTGACTTGGTGCTTGATTTAAAACACTGAAAGAATTGCAGAAAAGCAGAATTGACATTCTGCTAAATATCTCGTTTCGTGTTGCACAGAAGAATAAATATCATATGGGTTTCAGTCTACATGAGGGTGAGTAAATGCTAGAATTTTCATTTCAGTTTATTGTTCTAATTCTCAATACAAGATATTCTGTACAAGCCCTCTCTGCGACAGATAAGTGGTACTTGGTACCCCTGAAACTGTAAGGTAACTGACACTCACCACTTTGTTGGGGTCATTGCGATGGTTCTCCATGGAGTGCTTCACTAGTTCCTGTTGGTCCAAGTTGCGAGCGCCACAGTACGGGCACACAAATGTGGAGCGGTTTGGAATATTGCTGTTAAAAACAGAATTTCACTGTGTCTTAACCATGTGGTCTGATAAACCAGTATCAGATCTACACTATTACATAATAAGCAGTAGCTCTGTAGCAAAAGAGTTAATAGACAAAATAGTTGTGTAACTGATTATCAGTGTTCACATGAATAATGTAAATGTGCAGCCAGGGGGTGTATAGCATTGTGTGAATAACTTTCAAGTCTATAATAAATGAGCCAAGAACCTTCTGTTCACATTAGCTGTTTGAGGCATTCCTGACTGCCCAATTTTCAGCAGCTCCTTCCTTTTCTCTACAGGGATTTCAAAAACATTGGTGATATTACTTTTATTTAAGTCCAATAAACACTAATACGCCAATGAAATATTAATATTAAGTAACTTACTTTTGAGGCAAAATGTGTTCAATTACTCCGCAAACATGAATGCAGCCCACTAAAAATGTTTATTGTTTACAATTATTTTTCTCAGTGCTGCTGTTATTTCAGCAAGCTACAAATTCCATTAAGATCAAAGAGAAAAGTCAGCAAAGAATGGTGAAATTTCAGCAAAAATATTTAGCTCAAGACTTATTCAATCAAATTCAAGTTGTTTCAAGAGCGTGACACACTTTGAGTAATTTCTAATGTTTTGTGGGAGTCAGCACTTTTATTGGTGAATAGTTGAATATTTCTTTAAGATTACGGGTAATGTAACACTTCACTGGAATTTTTGTTTTAATTCAATTGAATTCAATATTTACTTCCAGGAACCACATTGTCATGCTTTATATTACCAAATATTACACCTACTACATTAGAATTACATAAATCACATAAATAATTTAAAATAAAAAATACAATAAGTTAAACATAATAATATATATTTACAAATAATGTCCTGAAAGTGTTTGACCAGAGATAATTTCTTTCAGGGGAGCCAGATATCTGTCTTTTTTAGAATTCTGCCATGCAGCTTGAATAGCCTGATGGTCTGGCAAAGACGTTTGCTTGCTCAGTGGGAGACTTTTCATTTGACTTGCAAAGCCCTATCAGCAAACAGCATGGGAAAGACTTCAACAGACTGAGACATAACTGGATTAATAGATGAGGCTTGGGCATAGGGATTCTTAAAGGGATACTTCACCCAAAATGTAATGATGTTTATCTGCTTACCCCCAGGGCATCCAAGATAGGTGACTTTGTTTCTTCAGTAGAACACAAATGAAGATTTTTAACACAAACCGTTGCAGTCTGTCAGTCTTATAATGGAGGTGAATGGGAATCACGGCTTTGAGAGTAAAAAAAAAAAGATCGGTCTGTGCAAGAAACTGAACAGTATTTATATCGTATTTACCTCTGATTCATGCAATGTCTGAACTGTTCGAACTGTCCTGAGCGCGTTCTCAACAGCAGGCGCGTGAGGCATCTTCTTCTTCTTGCTTTACGGCGGATCGCAGACTTATAAGTGCATTACCGCCACCTATCTCTCAAATGGACCATTGACACTCTATCTACAATCTACAATCTCAATTAGGAGTGTCAATGGTCCACTAGAGAGATACACATCAATGTATCGTCACGAGCCGCAGGGTTTAATTTGGTTTTGTTTGTGTATGTTTTTTTTTCTCTCAAAGCCGTGATTCCCATTCACCTCCATTATAAGACTGACAGACTGCAACGGTTTGTGTTAAAAATCTTCGTTTGTGTTCTACTGAAGAAACAAAGTCACCTACATCTTG